GAGGGGTCCTTGAGGGCTTTACGGTTTCGAGAGGGTTTGTTGTGGGTTTTGGGGTTTGGTGGAGGGTTTATTAAGGTTTTAGGGCTTAGAGGAGGGTTTTCTCATGGTTTTACGGTTTAGAGGAGGGTTTTTTGAGGGTTTTAGGGTTTAATGGAGGGCTTATCGAGGGTTTTAGGGTTTAGGAGGGTTTGCCGAGGGTTTGGGGTTTTTAGCTTTTTAGGATTTTCTGGGTCATTTTTTTTCGTTTTTGGATATTTCTGAATCTCATGAGTTGCCGGAGAGGGTTTTAGGGTTTGCGAGGGTTTAGGGTTTGGGGTTTGCGAGGGTTTGGACTTAGGTACGTCGCCACACTTCGAACTTCGACATGATAGAGAGTCTCGAAGACCGCTGGATGGTTTTCAAGGGTTGCATCAAAGGCGCTGATTTAGCGCATGCAGCCACTTCTTGGGACCAACACAAAAAGTGGTCGGAGAGACTTGCAGAAGAATTCTATCTCCAAGTCCGCTTTCGCGAGGGTTTGCAGGAATAAAAAAGGGTTTACGGGGGTTTACGGGAGTTTGTGGGGGTTTATGGGGGCTTTAGGCGGGTTTTGGGGGTTTACGGGGTTTTGGAGGGTTTATGGGGGTTTATGAGGGTTTACGGGGGTTTATGAGGGTGTACGGGGGTTTATGAAGGTTTATGGGGGTTTGTGAGGGTTGATGAGGGTTTACGAGGGTTTTGGGGGGTTTATGAGGGTTTATGGGGGTTTTGTAAGGGTTTATGGGGGTTTTTGAGGGTTTATGGGGGTTTACAATTAGGGTTTATGATTGGGGTTTATAATTAGGGTTTCTAATTAGAGTTTATAATTAGGGTTTATGATTAGGGTTTATAATTAGTGTTTATAGTTAGAATTTATAATTAGGGTTTATAATTAGGGTTTGCGTCCTACAGGGAGACGAAGAAAAACGTCTGGGGCTTCCGGTGTCAAATCTGTGCGACAGACTTCTCAAACACGAATTCAGCAGATCCCAGGTAAAACGAGGGTTTAGGGTTTAAGGTTTAGGGTTTAGGGTTTAGGGCGTGCGTCTCTCGAGGGTTTAGACTTCAACGCGTTAGGGTTTGCGAGGGTTTAGGAGTGTTTTGCGGCGCTTTTTGCTCGCGTTTTCCGCGCCTCGCGCGCAACCACTAGGGTTTAGGGTTTAGGGTTTAGGATTTAGGGTTTAGGGTTTGTGCAGGCGGGGTTTCTGAAAGTGCTGGTGGAGCCTTTGTTCATGGAAGTGGCAGCTTTGGCAAACCCCAAGGGGAAAGAACGCATGCATCAGGTGATTTGCAAAAACATAAAAAACAACAAAGAGAGGTGGGAAGGAAGTGTTTAGGGTTTAGGGTTTAGGGTTTGGGTGTTGGAACTTGAGGTAAATTGGCGCTTTTCTCTGCACTTTTCGCCAGTTTCTTTTCTTTTTTTAAATTCTACTTCCATTCTATTTTTAAAATTCCAAAGTTCTTTCTTTTTAGTTCTTTTTCGCCGTCCGGCCGCCGCGCTGGGGTGTACGTACACCCCAGCGCGGCCGCCGGCGCGCTCGGGTGTACGTACACCTCAAAGTCCCGCCCAAAGTCAAATGCATTTCTCCAACTCTTTTGTTCAATTCATTTCAATTAATTACTTCTTCGAAACTTCTGCAATTGCATGCATTATTTGTTTCTTTATTTGCCAGTCTTTCTTTGGAATCTGCAACTTTCTTCAAATGCAAATATACAAATCCATATAAATAAATGCAAATTCATAAATGCAAATTTATAAATGCAAATATATAAATCCGCATGAATAGATGCAAACTTCTTTCATTCAAATCCAAATGCATGCATTTATCTTTTGCATTTATTTATTCTTAATTCCATTTATTATTATTTCTATTTGAGTCTTTTTGCGTCAAATACTTCCCAAATATATATCCCAAATATATATATTTATTATTTGAAATTGCTTCATTTAAAATTCATTTATAATTCATTTACGCTTCATTTATAATTCATTTTCTTTATTTATTTTCCCATTATTATATTCCTTTGTAATACATATTCTGCCACAGATATGCATAATACAATTAATAAACAATAAACAAATAAATAAAATTAATTAATTAATTAAAAATAATTAATTATTTAATTTACAATCTCTTGCAGCAGGCCTGTTAAAGACGCAGCAACTCAAAAGAAAATAAATCAAATTTAATTTAAATGCCATTTCAAGTTTGAATTAATTCAATTCAACAGAATCTCAAAAACAGCCTTTCTGCCGCTGCAAGCGAATTCAAAGCAGCTGCAGCAGCAGCTGCTGCTGCAGCAGCACACTGCATGCAGGGCAGCAGCAGCGGATCAAGGCACTCCGCCAGTTAGATGTGGCTAGCTAGCTAGCTAGCCACGGCTAGCTGGCTAGCTCCTGCTGCTTAGCTGGCTAGTCAGCTGAACAGCTGGCCGCGGCTAGCTAGCTAGCTAGCTAGCTGGCCATGAGCAGCTAGCTAGCTAGCTAGCTGGCTAGCTAGCCATGAGCGGCTAGTTAGCTAGTTAGCTAGATATAGAGCTGCAGCTAGCTAGCTAAACTGGCTGCAGCTAGCTCAGCAGCCATAAGCAGCTAGCTGGCTAGCTAGCTGGCTGGCTAGCTGGCGGATTGGCTAGCTAGCTGGCTAGCTGGCTGGCTAGCTAGCTGGCTAGCTAGCTAGCTGGCGGTTTTATGGGTCGTTTGTTTGAATATAAATAAAAGGACGGATTTAAAAAACGTAAAATTGTTTTTCTTTTTGATGCATTTATTTATTTGGAAATGTAGTTCTAATATGTTGAAGTCCAGCAGCAAACAGTCTGCTGCTGCTGCAAAAGCAGCAGCAACAGCAGCAGCAGCAGCTGCGACAGCAGTAGCTAGAATTCTGCTGCTGAGGGAGTCACCTCCAGCTTGCTAGTTCTATGCACTTAGCTAGCTGGCTGTGGCTAGCTAGCCGGAGGTCCTGCAAGCCAGCAGCGGCTAGGTAGCTAGCTAGCTAGCTAAGTTACGCTAGCTAGCTACGGCTGGCTAGCTACAGCTAGCTAACTGTGGCTAGCTAGCTAGCTAGCTAGCCAGATGGCCAGCTAGCTAGCTAGCTACTTAGCTAGCTAGAAGCCGCCCGCCACTTTGGATTCTTTCCTTTGATGCCTAGCTAGCTAGCTAACGAACTAACTAACTACCTGGCTAGCTATATGGCTAGCTAGCGAGCTAGCCAACTGACGCTAGCTAGCTAGCTAGCTAGAAAGCTAGCTACCGGCCCACCTACGGCTGGATAGCCGTTGCTAGCTACTAGCTAGCTAGCCACACTTAGCTAGCTAGCTAGCTAGCTGCTGCTCTTTAGCTTCACTTTGATTCAAACTTGAACAAGAAAAGTAAAAGCGGGCTCGAAACACGGCTTAGCTGCTGCTATTGCTGCTGCTGCTGTTGCTGCTGCTGCTACTTTTATTTGTATTTGTCTCAAAAGACTTCAAAAGTTTAAAAATTAAAAAATGAAAAGTGGGAAAAGCGACGCGGAGAAAAAACAAAGAAACTCTCTTCAGCGGCGGGGGCTGTGGGGCTGCATGCGCTGCAGCAGCAGCAGCAGCTGCTGCTGCTGCTGCTTTTCTCTTTGATTATTTTAGTGTAATTCGCTATTAATCATTAAATTTCTGAAGAAAAATCAAAACCCTAAACCCTATACCCTAAACCCTAGCGGAAGCAGCCCAGGGCGGTAATCCTCTTCCCTTCTTTCTGCTCTCCCATTTGCTGATTCATAAACCAATTAATTATTTATTTATAATTTATATTTTATTTTTATTTATTTATTTATTTACTTGTTTATTTATTATTTGGCTATTCTTGACGCGAACCCCCGGGGTGTGTGTACACCCGAAGATGGAGGCCGAAGATACACCGCGTAAGAAACGAAATGAAAATTTCCTTTCTTTTTTATTTATTCAATTATTTATTTATTCATTGTTTATTATTTATTTATTATTTATTTATTTATTTATTATTTATTTATTTATTCATTTATTTATTTATTTGCAGCGGCAAGGAAGAAGGCTGAGGAGTATCTCATTGCCAACAGAATCCCAGAACTGCTGCTGGCGAGTTTGACTCAATTAAATATTTATTTATTTATTTATTTATTTATTTTTTTATTTTTTTATTTTTTTATTTGTTTGTTTTTTGTTTATCATGTATTTAT